TAATAATAATAATAATAATAATAATAATAATAATAATAATAATAATAATAATAATAATAATAATAATAAAGTTGGAAGGGACCTTGGAGGTCATCGAGTACAACCCCCTGCTCAGGCAGGAAACCCTATACCATTTCGGACAAATGGCTGTCCAGTCTCTTCTTAAAAACTTCCAGTGTTGGAGCATTCACCGCTTCTGGAGGCAGCTTGTTCCACTGGTTAATTGTTTTAACTGTCAGGAAGTTTCTCCTTAGTTCTAGGTTGCTTCTCTCCTTGATCAGTTTCCATCCGTTGCTTCTTGTCCTGCTCTTTATCGCAGTCATTACTTGTGAATCCAAGGACAGCTAAGGATCAGAAAGAATACCAGGAGGAGGCCCACAGGTTTTCATTTAGGCAATGTTCAATGTTCAATGTTCAACAGTATGCCTCCTTCTTTGGAGATGAAGAGCAAGAGACGAGATTACAGAAAGACAGAAAATAGCTGTGTAAACCTTTATCGCTTACCCTGGGAAAACAAGCACCTTCTTTTCTGATGGAAGAAGTCTGTTTGGTGTACTCTCTACCCGGTTTAGTAGAACTGTTCTGACTTTGGAAGCTGGAAACTGCACGTGTATTTGGTGTGGCAGTAAGAGAATAAGGAGAATTGGTGTACTCTTCAAGAGAAGCACGTCCTGTAAGATTTTGAGATGCACGCTGAGAAAGACAGGTGGAGGTGTCCCATGATACTTCTTCAATATATAGCTGTTGTCTTAAACAGAATAAGCATATTGATTTTTAGCGGAACAGGTTACTCAAATGCATCGATATTTTACAGTAGGAAAATAATCCCACTGTAGAAGTATGTTTTTATTTATATCATAATATGGGTGGTACTCAAATGTAACAAATGATAAAACAATTGTAATGTAAAAACATGGCTTTTTAAAGTTATAACAAGTCACTTGGTTTATTCTGCTAAGATTTTTTTGAGAAGGAATAAACATAAAATGGCATAAAATATGGAATGAAAGCTGATTCATGAAATTCAAAAATACATGTGTTAGGTTACAGATGTAGAATTTCTTCCATATATTGCATGCAGTAATATACCAAGAAAGAAAAGAGGATAATTGGAAAATATTTCAGTTCTAAATGCTAGCACTAGATGTTTAGATTTCTGATTAATATATAACAGAATATGAACATCACAAGTTGTAAAAGTATCAACATTTATTTATATGTTTTTTGGAAATGAATTATTTTATATAAATAGGATATAAGCTATATTTTTGTTCCAACAGCAAAACAATCTAAATACAAAGGAACTGATATCTCAGAGTTTTTTCTTTATTCTTAATTATCTTCTCTTTCCATTTAAATTCTGTTCTTATTCTTATTATTCCATAGATAATAAAGTAAGACATTTAGGGATGAGAAAAAGGCCTTTGAAGTTGACACATCAACTCTGAAGTGTCTCATAAGAAATAAATTAAATACCGTAGCCTAAAATACTAAATAACCAATTATTGTTGAAATGGGGAGCCATATAAATTGCTTAAATAAATAACCAATAAATATAATTCACCAAACTACTTAGAAATTAAATTCAAGATCTTGGGAAATTAATAGTTTCCTCAAAAATGAAACATAAAGGGTACATACTTATTCACTGATGGCTCCTCAACATATGGGTAGCATGTAGTATAATATCCAGGAAAGACACATGCTTCTGCGGGTTCTGACCATGCCACTGTTACTGCTGCAAACTTGGGGACAAATGGTTTGACCTCTGCTGATAACTTGATGCCCTGATATACAAAATAATTTTGATTACATATACTTTCAGATTATCCACAGAAAGTTAAAAACATTATGTATGTACATGGGAGAAAATATGATTCCTCCGCTCTTGAAACAAGAATGAAGAAATTAAAATGCCAACTGTATATTTAAAACTGCATCAGTAATTTAATGGCTTAAATACTTGCTTTAAAATATACACATACACACATTTATATAAGCATGGAACAACTATTTATGCTGCATGAAGTACAAAAGATGGTTTTCTATCCATTTCAATGATCTCTTGATAATCCCTTCCAACTTTACATAATAATAATAATAATAATAATAATAATAATAATAATAATAATAATAATAATAATAATAATGTTCGTCGTCCTTTCTATAATATCCGTTATCTCTATATCTCGAAAAGATGGAAACGATAATTTAATTTAATTTTCTGAAAGATATCCGAAATTCAGGTGTGAAAGAGGGAAACAAGTTAGAGAAGAAAACGTCCTTACTCCTTACTATCCTTTTACCTCAGTTACGGTCTTGCATTACAAGTTTAAATGTCAGATGTAATTTAAAATGGAAGTCTGTGAAAGAGGACACATGTGATCTTATTACACACCCCTAGCATATGTATCTATGTCTATGTATCTATGCATGTTTGTATATGTAGAGAGAAAGAAAATATCAGCATGGTGTAGCAATTAAAGTGCTGGACTAGAAGCAGGGAGACAAGATCCAATCCTTCCTTAAGCACAGAAACTGGCAGATGACTTTGGGCCAATATCACTCTTTTTCATCCCTAGTTGGGGGAATTAAAATATCTACCAATTCGTACTAGACCACCATAGTAGATTATAATCTGTAACATTCAGTGAAAAAGACTTCAACCTGCAGTAGGTTGATTCGAGCTGAAAATAATAATATGCATACACACTGTAGCGTGATTGCATTGGCTCTATATTAACCTTCACTTATATAAAGCAGCAACCAAATTGAAGCAAGTCATTCAGCTAGCAGTTAAATGCCCATTCACTGTGCACCCTCTAATGGTTATTTCTAGAGACACTGCAGGAAACTTAAGTGTTTCGGTTCAGATTATGAATTGCTTATTAGTGCAGTCATAACCTGGCAAATTTATACTGATTACTTATAAGTGCATCTTTAATCAAAAATCTAAATATACCCATTAAATCACATTGCAAAAATATTAAGCTAAAGTATGCTTACTGGATAATTTTTACATTTCTCTGACAATTTGAATATTGAAATAATTAAATATTTTGAAAATTGACATCACAGATTTTTTTTCAGTGACTAGCTAATCATAATTACCCTTGTAATGAAATAAATAATTCATAAATTAAAACTGAAAAGAACATATACTATACAACCTTAGCCAAAGGGGAAGAATATATAAATAAGCTCACCCCCATCCAAGCGAAATATTACATATTTCTACTTAAGATAAGTACAGATAAGCTTCTATAATATTCCCTATCATATTGTTGAAGTAAATTGGTTTACTCTGTCAGGAACCACAGTATCTACTGTTAATGTGCTTGTATACGTTCTATTAAGTCATATGGAACCACACATTTATTGGTTCTTTCTCCAAGTGGAATAACTGTCTTTGGTTTGTTTTGAATGTATCGTGTTATCCACAAAAATTCCTAGCACTGCTAATCACAGAGGATGTGAATAAACTTAAATCATAAGAACTCTCTTTGACTAGGAGTGCCAGGCTATATGGCAAAATTAAAGAAGAGAATACTTTTTCCTGGCTACACTTTACTCTCAGGAAAGCTAATAAATGCAGATAAGCATATTCACTAATAAGCAATACTAATGACATATTGCATCGTCTAGTTTTAATTTAGCTTCCAATATTATTTTAAATAATCATCTATATATATGCACCACTTGGACCCTTTGCATGCCAAGAGATGTGTTCTGACTGTCTATGAATTATAGCTCTTTCCCACAATAAACATATTGATTTAATAAATGGAAAAAGATATAATCCAGAAAAATACCAAAATCAACTTATGCATTCATAAGAAATATTTTTCCAGAGATGTACTTTGCCTGAGAATATGGATCTATCTTCAAAGATCCATTAGTCAAAATCAAAGCAAGACTTTATTTGCAAAAGTAAACTACAAATTAAATCTATGTCAATGCTGTTTCTGTATTTTAAATGTGAAAAAACAGCATTTCATATTTCAAATACACACACACACACACACACACACACATATACATACATACTAGAGTTAATATAGTGTACTAGGTTAACCTTATGCAGATCAGAGAATTTTTTTAAGCTTTTAAGTGACCCATACAATAGGAACCTATACTTGGAAATACCACTACTTAAAAATAATATTGTAAAATTCTCCTTCCCTTCTGCTCCATTTCATTCTATGAAGAACATAATGCTGAAGGGAAAAAAAATCTGGCATCTTAAAGGATAATAGGCTTAAGCCTGAAATTGACAAGCAAAAGTCAAAACAGCCTGAGGAAGTGCACCAATACTTGTAAAAGCCCATGCCACAATAAACCATCTAGCATATGTTTCAAATCATATATTGGCATGTTAGATTTTTTTTACTTAAGAAATATTTTAAGTAAATAGAAGATTTCTGGCCAGAAATATGACTGAAAATGGAAAAGCAAGAGAAAGTTCAACTTTTGGTGTGCTTTGGAACCAGTTGTTACACAATTCAATCTATCAGGAGCACCTGTCCTCTGGAATGATATTCTCCAGAAATTTCTGTAGTTCCTATTTTTATGATGTTCTGGACATCTTTAAAAACCAAATGTTTTAAAGGTAACTATTCTCCCAGCCATGGAGTAGACTGTGGAGCCCTATGTTTTATGTTTTCTGTACAGTATGATGGAAACTGTCTGGACATATGGGATTTCCATTTTATTGTTTTCTTTTTATTGTTTCCTATTGATAGCGTAAGCCATTTAGAGTTACTTTGGAATTGGTTGGCCTCTACATCAAACAAACAAATAAATTAGCTACTTCTCTACCACATATTATATACTATCTACCCAAGTAATAGTTTCATTCACAAAGCTTTAAAACATATATGAATAAGTTTTCTGAAATATTATTCCGAGTAGTGAATTATGGTATCTCTGCAAAGAAAAATCAGGTTCCAAAGAAACACCCTTGTGATTGCTAAAAAGCCTATTGTTTGTTTATTGTGGTCCATGACCAATCAATGTTCAGAAGTATATCTTTTGATACCAATCATATTTATCAAGATGCCACCTTCTAGAATTCAATGTACCCTTTTGTCATTTAGCAGTTGCAATTCATTCCTTAAACCAGAAGAGAAATGACTAAGAGAGAGGCTGCAAAGATCACTAGTTGCTGCCATCTGTTTCTGATAAAGTCCTCTTGTGCAGCTTTGCCAATAAGTTACTCCAGTGTTCATTATTGTCAGACACACAAAATTTGGTGATAAGTGCATGCATTGGTCAGAATTCCCCCCCCCATTATATCTGCAATCATTAAAAGAAGTACCTGCTAAATAAAATATTTAATATAGATTAAATGGTAATCAGAAAAATCCAATTTCAGGCAATACTTCCTAAACTAACTGCTATCCTTCTCTCTCCCTGCCCCTTTAAACAGATGTGCCAGTATTTTCAATTAGACTTCTTTTAACCAGCAGCAGAGGGCAGAACCTAGTCAAAATTCTGGAAGAAGACAATGGGAAACCATTTCTATATTATTATTAAGAAAATGATATGCTTGCACATTATCTAATTCCCGAGAGTTGAGCTCAATGTCGGGAAGCTTTTATGCTTATTTTAATTCAGCTTTATTTGAAATCATTTACATTTACAAACAGAACTACAATACTGTTTTATATTGTAAGGTACCTTACGTTATCTGAGACACTTCTTGAAAATCAGATAATATATTAACTGAATAAAATAAATAGGATCTTTTTATTGGAAAAACCACTGGCTACTGAACTTCAGCTTTTTGTGGTAAGTTTTGCCATTAACATGTGACCTTCCTTAAAAAACAAACAAACGGAGAGAGAAATGGCAACCCTTTCACTGCTTTAGAGAACAGGAAATAAGTGTAAGGCCATTACACTTTTGGGGAAAAAAACAGGCAAGATTTTAACTTTAACTATCTTGGAAGTGGAACGGAATTCATTCATTTCCTGTAATGATAATGTTTACAGTACATTTGCTACGTTCACAGAATATTTTAACGGTAAGCCACGGTTAACAGTAAGCCACGGTTTTATTCCAATAACTCATCTAAAACGAAATGCCCCATTATGGTTTAACGTAACGCATTTTGTTTGGCTTCGGGCTTGCCGCTGCAATTCGTGAACTATGATTTAGCGGGTTATGAAAACACACTCAGGGTGCGTCTTTTCCTCAGTGCCTCTAGCTGCGCCCACCGGAACTTCACTTTCATTTGCTTCTTTTCCTTCCGCAGAAAAAGGAAGGAATCCCCACCAGGGCTGAAAAGGCTCGTCATCTTCCCCTTCACGTCGAGGCTCCCATTAGGAAGGGGAGAAGCGACGTGATTTACGTTAAAAAGAAACCTCAGACAGAGACTTCCTTTTCTTTGGCTTTACCGGGATCGCGGAGGGGGGGGGGGAGAGTTCTCGCTGCCGGTTACATAACAACGGCCAGGGGGGGCTTAAAACAAAAGCCGGTCTTTATTTTCAGTTCTCCGCAGACCCAGCCTGACCGCCGTTTCCCCGCTTACCTCATTGCCCGCTCCCCGTTGTGAAGTCATGGCGGGGGGGGAAAAAAAAAAAAGAAAGGGGCAAGCAAAGGTCAATGCCTCGCTAACGGCGACTTTCTACCCTACCCTCCACCACAAACCCAGCTGGCGCGCACAAAAGCCGTCGAAGAGGCGACGCCAGAGTCTCTCGGGCTCGTGGCCAATCAGCAGCGGCATAGTCATCATATGACGGTCGTCATGACGCCAGAGGCAAAAGAGAAGTAGGCGGAAGTGCCCGAACGTTCTCCCGAGACAAATCGATCCGGCTCGCGCGGAAGCCGATCCGCATCCAGCTGCAAAAGGGGGGGCCGGCAGAGCAAGCCATCGTGAGAGTTGTTTTGGGTACGCAATCTCCGACAGGGTGACAAAAACCTTGGCTTCTGAAACTACAATACAACGTTATTGTCCTATTTTTCTGGAAGTTTATTTCAATAGACGCTTTTTTTTTTTCAAAATTAAGTCACATAAAACCCTATACATCTGAATTGCCTTGGGAAGCTACTCTTTCATGTGGCACTTGATATTTAGCAAGCCTATACTACTATGTGTCAGTAAGATCTCACCTACACTTGTTTGAATTTTCTAAACAGAAGACATTTTGGGGACCTGGTTGCCTCATGAAATGTACTGCACATATTTTAAGTGTATATTTCAAGTTTTATTTGGAGGGCTTAGAGTGGCATGCAGTTTACATGCAGTCTCATTCATTCAATATTCTGTGTGAGGTCGTGTTGAATGAGTTATAAATGAGGATTTGAGCCTGAGGCTCCATAATGAACATCATACTGTATTGACATCATACTGTCAATAGTCACATCACATAATAAAGGTTAGGGGTTAGGATTAGTTTAGAAAAGGGAATCAATGTGCCAAATGCTGGGGGGGGGACAACACTTAGCACAGAAAAAGTGACAGTACTCACAAGGTGTTTTTTTTATTATTTCAGTCTTAGAAAAGGATGTTCTATCAGTAATTTCTGAAGATTTAGTAAGACTGTATCGTGGAATTGCAAAGTTGGAAGGGACCATAAGGATCATCTAAGCCCAGCCCTGTGTGACATGCAGAAAAACTAAAACATCCATGAGAAATGGCCATCCAGTTATTAAAAATCTTTAGATCAGGGGTGTCAAACTGCCAGCCGGTGACGGTTGCATCACATGGAGGCCACAGCTCCGGCAATGCAAAAAAGGTCATGATACATCAAGACACATCACGTGACAATGGCGAGTTTGACACCTGTGCTCTGGGTAGAGATTTCACAATCTCCAAAAGGAGCCTGTTCCACTATTGTATAGCTCTATTAGAAAGTTATTTAAACAATATATAGGTAACTGCAACTTATACTTGTGGTCATTTTCTGTGGCCATGGAAGTTTTCCACCATCTTCTGACTTTTTTTTTTGTTCTAAACATAGCTGTCATGTCTCCCTTTGTTCTCCCCAGACAACTCAAATTCCTTCAGCCTATTTTCATTTTCATAAAGCATGTTGTCTCAATACAATTTTCATTATTTCCTCTGAATCCTTTACAGCATGGGTTGCCAACCTTTTGGCTTGTCTCAGGCTGCATATAAAATTTGTAATATAATTTATATAAATATCACTAAAATCATGTTAAAACGTTATGAACTTGTAGCTATCCAGGACATGCAACCTATGGGCTGGACACACCTGCTGTACAATAACCTGTTAATATCATTCAGGAAATGTAGACCTCTAAATCATACATGAAATTCCAGATGATTGCACAAGTACTAAATGGAATGACTTCATGCACCCTTGACACAATTCTTATAATGCAAGCCAGGTCTGTTAGCTCTTGTAATAGGTGTATCATACCGCCGACTCATGCTCATCAATGACCACACCCAAGTCCTGCTCAAATGTAGTGTTTCCAAACAATTATCCATGTTATATGTAGGTCCCACATTTTTTCCATTTCTAAATGGAAAAATACAGCTGTATTAAAGGATATCTTGTTCGTTTCAGCTCAATCTTCCAACCTGTTGAAGTATGAGATTGATAAACAAGGTGATGGAATGTACATTTACCGTAAGTTTAAATCTCCAGGGTCAGATGAATTGCATCCTAGAGGATTTTTAAGGATTTTGCTGTAGTCTGGCCAAATATTTATTCTTGAGAAAGTGCCAGATTACTGGACAGACACCCCCAATTCTCAAACAGGGAAGACATTTCTAGGAACAGTAAGACTCATCATTCTAACATCACTATTGGGGAAGATTCTAGAGATAACAGAGCAATTGATCCATAAGCACTTTGGAAACAAATTACCACAAATCAGTATGAATTTGTCAACTGGTTTTGTCCCATTTTTTGAGATGGATAATTTTCTTAAGTTTCACAGCAGGTGGTATTTATGACTAGCTGATCTATTAGGAAATCTCAGATCTATAGGCTGGATCGGAGAAATAAATAGGTCAACTGTTATTAAAAATTTTGGACAGCTTTTCTTATACTGTATAGAAATTAGATTGAAAAATTAAAATCCATGAAATAAATACCAAGATTTAATTTTAAAAACAGGTTTATTTCATCAGACCTATTTTAGGAGTTGAAAAGCCACAGGATGAATTGCTCTAACATTTATAGAAAGATACATTGCTAATATAAACCAAAGATCATTGAAGAGTTTATGATCAATACATGTAAGTTGTAAACTTTATTGAACAAAATTGACAAGAGCAAATAGGCACTTGTTAACAATGAGAGTTCAAGATCATAGCAGCCAACTTAACTTTGCATTTTACTGAGCTCTGTTGCTGTGAATAATACAGCTCATGCACAGGTAATGACTTATTTGTACATTTTTCTCAAGTATTCACTGAATACTACCAACATATATACATTTGTACATAAAATTTCAGAAATTTAGAGAAGTTATTTTTGTTGGCCTTTTGGAAGTGGTCTTCTAAAAAGAAGGATATGTGGTTCTGCAAGAGAAAAACAGAAATTTGTTTATGACTGTTGTGAAAGCTTACACTTGCCAATCATGCTGATTAAACCCATCCCTTTATCACTGCCATTGTAACTGACTTGGGAAGGATAATCCCCTTTCAAATATGTAACATAAGGCTCTACTCCAACATGTTTGAAACAAATTGTAAAGTCATATCACAACATTTCACTGTAAAACATTTATTAAAAGACATGAGGGTAAGCATAATGAAACAAAATGTATTCAAAATATTCTGTACCACAATATAATACGTTACAATTAAGTTTACTTCTCCAAAGAACTATACATTTTAACTCAATTGACATAGGACTCTATACATTTGTATTTCCCCCTTCAATTCCTGTATGATCACAAATGAAATGCATAAACATTTCAGTAGTTTATACAAATACCCCTCATTCACATCAGTGAAACCAGAAGTCTACGGGGGGGAAAATGTTTTCTAAAAATGTAACATCTGCATTTATTTTACCTGGTTCATGAATCATATAATGGACCCAGCCAAGACTTTGCTGAACACCAAGCCTTCTCCATTCTTCTTCAGTCATTAAATGTGTTTTTGGTACTTGCTTTGAGAGCTCTCTTGGCAGCATCACATGCCTATCACAATTAAAATGTACACATCACATTCACACAAAGTGGTTGACCCAATATGCATGAACCCAGTCATGAATAAAATAAAGTTTCCTATAAAAATTCATTGCTTTCAGGAAGTGATCGACATCCTTTAGAACCCTTCTTTAGCTGAAGCTATATAATCAACAATGGCAACATTCCGATACTTTTAAAGTAGCATCTAATACTATGTTAAATATCCAATTCCACAGACAAGTCTTCAATAATTCCACAGACAAGTCTTCAATAATTAAATAAGACAAGTCATATTTAATTTGATTTTAGAACAGAAACTTGCGTATATTTATCGGGGTTTTTATTATCGCCTGTTCACCGCCCTGAGTCCCGTAAGGGAGATAGGGCGGTATATAAATTCAATAAATAATAATAATAATAATAATATTCACACCCTGCACAATCAAGCTACTTTTCCAAATCTAGAAGATGCACAAGAAAGAACCATCAGTGCAGCCAACGCCCACTCAGTCATTAAGTTTCCTGAGGGTTAATTAACCCTGGATCAGCCATTGTTTATTTTTTTTCCAGAGCTTAGGTCAGGATAAAGAGTTCAGGTGGAAAGGGAGAAAAGTTATTCCCTCGGAGGTCGAGTCTCTAAAAACGTACTGCAGCAGCAGCAGGTTACTGTACTTTAGCAGCGTCTCAGCTCTTTTGCTGGCGGCTTCTATACATGGGCAGAGAAAGATGATTTGGGGCATTGATGCCACCTTTTCCCCGATGTTTCCTAAATAGCCCCCCGAAGCCCCCCAACTTTCTCTTTTGTTACAAAGTCCGAGGCGGCCAACCGCTCGCCGTTCCGTTTCTGCGTCCCGAGGCAAAGGCAAATGGATGGAAAGCCCGACCTTCACCCATTTCCCTCCCGTCTCTCCCCTCGGCACAAGCGAAGTAACGCGAGCCTGCCCGACACGAGCCTCCCCGTTCTCGTACCGGTATTCGTAGTTCTCGTCGAAGTATTTATCCGAATAATAGATCTGCTTATGAGCCATTATGAAAGGAATGGCGGCGGCGGCGGCGGCGGCAGCGACCACGACGCTTCTGCTCCCGGCGAAATCCCCCCTCCGGCCCCAGAGCTCGTCACTAACCGACTGCCGTGAAGGTAACTCGGCACCCGACCCAATTTGAATCCAACATCTCCGCGTTGATTGGAAGGGAGCCCTGGGCTAATCGGAGCGCGCGCTGTCACGTGGCCGCGGCCTGTTGCTTATTTGATTCTCTCCGAAGATTTGTCTCCGTTTCCACCAATCAGAGAGCGGAGGCGCCGAGGGGCAGCGGGGGGGGGCGCGCCAAATATACTTGTTTGCAATGTTCGGACGTTGGTTGTTGGGATCTGGCGGGTTTTGTTTATCTCCGTCTTACGAGGACAGAAGGAATGATCTGCGAGCCCAATATCTCCGGCGGGGGGGTGGCGGCCAAGAGCGGTTATTATTATTATTATTATTATTTTTACCATTGTTCTCGTAAGGGCTGCTCTTTGCACATTAGCTGCCGATCTTTTGCGTATTATTTTTTCAGAACAAT